GCTTGAGGCCTGATTTCCTGAATCTTAACAGGACAGCCCTAAGCCTTTCAGCTAGAATGTGTGTGGAGTCTCCTGCAATCAAGACATCGTCAAAGTAGGGGCAGACCCCTGGTATACCTCGTAGTGTGTTTTCCATTACGCTTTGGAAAATCCCAGGAGCGACATTTACTCCAAACTGTAGCCTTTTTACTTTAAAGGCTCCCCTGTGGGTCACAATGGTCTGAGCTATGGCAGCATCATCATCAACAGGCAGCTGTTGATATGCTTGAGCTAGGTCAAGCTTTGCAAAAACACGCCCCCCCTTGAGAGAGGCCAGGATGTGACTGACCACAGGAACAGGATAGGCATGTTGCTGCAATGCCTTATTGAGTGTGCATTTGTAATCAGCACAAATGCGAATGTCCCCATTTGCCTTTAGAGGTGTGACAATGGGGGTCTCCCACGGGCTGGAATCAACAGGTTCTAGGATTCCCTGTTGGATTAGTTTGTCTAGTTCAGTGTCAATCTTACTTTTTAAAGCAAAAGGGACCCTTCTTGCTTTAATCCTAATGGGAGTGACAGTGGGGTCTAGCTTTAAGGACACAGGTGGTCCTTTGAATGTGCCCAGCTGGGGGCTGAAAACATCTGCAAATTCTTTGCAGACTTCCTGTAGGTCGAGTGTTTGTAAGCTATTGAGTCCTGTGACGTGTATCCCCAGGGCCTCAAACCAATCGAGTCCTATGAGACTCGTTCGTTCACCCCCTACTACTAATAAGTCTAGTGGACCTTCAAAACTCTTGTATTGCACGTTAAGGGTGGCCTCCCCCTTAACACACACTCTTGAGTTCTGAAAATCTGTTAATACAATATCAGAAGGCCTTAACTTGGCCTTAGACCCACTTCTGGAACAAATCTTCCTAAATGTATGCAATGAAATGATGGACAGGGCAGACCCTGTGTCTAGTTCCATAGATAATGGAACCCCTTGTAGCTTCACGTTGAGTGACAGCTTTTTCTTCATGGGCTTGTGTGTGCCTGTTCTACAGATGCTTCTTCGCGAAGCGCAAAAACCTACCCTATTCTGGCTGGGGAATCTGGTACCCTTCAGGCGTTCTTCTTGGGGTTGTGCCTTTCGTCGGCCCAGGCACACAGCTGCAATGTGCCCTTGTTTACCGCATGCCCGGCAGGTAGCGGAGCGGAACTTGCAGTCGGTTCTCCTGTGGCGACCTCCACAGCCGATGCACTTGAGCGGAGCCGAAGAGCTAGACTCGACTTCCTCGTCCGGATCCTCCTCGGAGTTTCGTCGGACGTCTTCCTGGTGCACGGACGCACCCTCTGCACTGTTTCTGATCGGCCGCATGTTTTTGACGGCGCCGCCTGCTGCTTCTTCTGCGGTGACTTCCCTTAAGGCGTCTTGGAAGGATAATTCTTCCTTTGCGAAAAGTCTCTGTTGTAGCTCGCGATGCCTTAACCCGCACACGAATCGGTCCCTCAGTCGTTCCTCGAGGTCCTTGAACTCGCAGGGCTTGGCGGCCTTCCGTAACGCGGCGATGTATTCCTTGGCTGACTCACCGGACCGTTGATCCCTTTGTTCGAAGGTGTGGCGCCATGAGATAACGGACACCTTGGGATGGAAGTGCTCCTTCAGCAGCTTCTTCAGGTCTGCGTAGCTTACAGACTCTACTGGGACAGGTGCTGCAAGGTTTTCTGCGATTTCGAAGGTGTCTTGGCCGCAAACGCAAAGCAGGGTGGCCGCCTTCAAGCTATCTTCCCTCACTTGGTTTGCCTTGAAGTAGTTCTCCATTCTGGATACGTAGGACTCCCACCGCTCTAGATGTGAGACGTCGAATTCCGAAAGCCTTCCGATTTTCGCCATCTTCGGATCTTCAGGAGACGGGTCTATCAGCCAGCCTACCCCCGAATGCGCACCGGATTGGCGGGCAGCTGCCGAGTCGACGCCGTTCCTCTTTCGCCGCTCAGGACTCCTTGGGTAAGCTTACACTTCTTCCTTTCCAGGTAGTGCAAGGCATCCCATCCTCGTCGCCAGTGTTGAGTCCGTGGCGGGAAAACAGACACGAGAAGCAGCTGGAGTTCTCAGTTTCATTTATTCAGCGTTCAGCTTACAGGAAGATGGCTTCAGCCTCGCCCAAACGCCTCGCAGCCTCTTATATAGGCAACTCCCGGGTAAATGGGTTACTTTTCCCGTGCCAGCACCCGCGCATGCGCACGGCGCTGGCGACAGCCTGTCTGGTCCCGGGCAGCTTTGCACCTGCCCGGGACTGCCTGCAAACGCCCGAGCCGTTTGTAAGGCTCGGGACATAACACCTACATTATTAATTGACTTAAACCTGAAGGTTAGTTTTTTAAGACTTAATTTAATAATTGTTTTAAAAGAATGGAATTTATTTTAAGATGAATGTATGGCTTTATTTTGTTTATATTATATGTAATATCATTTCCTTTTGTCTGATGATGTAATTGTTCTGATGTTCCTTGGTCTCTCAGCATTTGGTACTATCAATCATTCTGGACTAAATGTAGGAAAAAGGAGTACAGGCAGTCCTTGACTTAACTACAACTGGGACCATTGCTAAATGATGTGGTCATTAAGTGAGTCATCACAAATGCCCAATTTTACAACCTTTCTTTGTTATGATTGTTAAGCAAATAATACAATTGTTAAGTGAATCCAGCTTCCCACATTGATTTTGCTTGACAGAAGTTAGTCAGGAAGGTTGCAAATGATGTTCATGTGAATCTGGGAGGTGGCAGTTGTCATTAATATATCTCAGTTGCAAAGTGCCTGAATCATGATCACATGACCGTGAAGATGCTGCAATAATTATACGTGTGAGAAATGGTTCCAAGTCACTTTTTTAACATTGTCCTAACTTTGAATGGTTGTTAAATATATAGTGATAAGTCAAGTCTTTTTTTCTCTGCAGCCATTCAGATTGCTATCTCTCCTGTTTTTTTTTTAATTCTCCATTTTTGGAACTTTGTGTGTTAAATTTCTGATCTGTCTACAACTGAAGTTGTAGTTTTTCTATCTAATCTATAACTTTTTTATTGTAATAAATGACTCGCTAATTTCTTCTGAGGTTCTGAGATAAAAAGCTAATTATTTGAAATGAAGTCTTTTATATTACTTGATGTAGGAGATGACCAGGCTGAGCCTGAGAGAGAGGTCAAACACATCATCAGTCATGAGTCCTTGTGCTCCTACAAGAAATCTAAGTATAGCCTACCTTGAATAAATAATGCCCGATAGTGAATCCAGTGGAAATTTTCATTTGTAATTGTAGTAATCATTTTAAACTGGAGAAATAGCAATATTAAGCATGGAAAAAATATTCTGCTTTTTTATTTTTATTATTTGTATGTATAAGAGCATTTAATTGTTATATTTTGTTTTAAAATGATATGAAAACAATTTTATAATACACATACGCAAACACTGTTAAATAGCTGTGCTTGTTTAAATATCTAAAGGTTTTCCAATCCATGAGGAAGAATAGTGTTCATATTCCTTCTATAAATTTTCCAGACATCATATTATTTATTATAGTCTTTCTTGCAATGTTAGAAAAATTAAATACATTGCTCCTGTGATTAAAATATTTAAGGTCAAGACATTGCTGTATTTTCTGCACGGAGATTAAACTAATTTTGCTAGGATTGACAAAGTTTGGTGAAGCAGGATTAACCAAAGAATATGATCACAGTCTTTAATAATTGGCTATAACTAACATGATGCCTGCATTAATTTTGACAGATAATGGTTTCTCTTGTAGGAAGGGTATGGAAATAAATTGTAGTCTTATATTCTAAGTCATTGCTGGTTTTGGATGTGTTCAGGCAAAGCTAAATCAAAAACTCCATTTGAAGCTGGAATTCCCACTTAAATTGAGAGTAAAACAGTTCAATGGTTTTAAAGTAGCTAGGTACATTCAATAGTTATTTTGGAAACATATTGTTATTGCTTATACAAAGAAAAACATAATAAGCCTGAATGAAATATCACAGGGAGATTACTATACTTCAGTGTTTCTGGGAATATGTTTAGCTGGTTTCAGACTGAAATGATACAGAAATGAGCAAAATACAGTGCACCTTTACACCAGACAAAGTTGTGTTAGATCAGCTTTTTGCTCTTTAGCAGGTCATTAGAAAAATGTAAGAAAGAAAATTTAGTATATGTTTTTAGTGAATTTGGCAAAAGCATATGATAAAACAAAGATACTTTCGCTTGCACAGAACATTTTGTACAAATATTTGAAGGAAAAGTGAAAGGCTTAAAAGGAGGGGAAGACACAGAACATTACAGCTGGACAGAGTTATGAAATCCTCAGAAAGAGAAAGGAAAGAAATTCAAGAACAAAAAGTATATGAATTAGTTACACATATATGAAAATAAAGATTATTTGCAAGTATACAAAGGTGTGGACAGATATAGCATATGGCTTTAGATTTAGATTTCATTTTGTCTCCTGGTTTTAATTTCTTTTGCTTACTATTTTAATTTCTTTTGCTTACTATTTCTTTCTGTATTGAGTAAAATAGCAATAGTGGGATGTGTATATACTTTGCTTTTATTGGATGATAATAGAAGTGATGATTATTATTTTAGTATTATATTGTTCAGTTATAATAAAATCAGTGTTTCTCAACCTTGACAATTTTAAGGCATTGCTGGCTGTGGAATTCTGGGAGTTGAAGTCCACATGCCTTAAAATTGTCAAGGTTGAGAAACACTGAGTTATATAATACCTGGCATGTCACATTTCATTTTGAAGATTTTTTTCCCTATCTTAGCTTTGGAAAAAACTTGAAAAACTGATGCAATAATAATGATTTAAGTTTAATTTCACTTACTCATGTAGCTAAACACGGGATATTCTTCAATTATCCAGTGAAAATCATTGTATATATTATCAATTCTCATTTAGAAGCAAACATAAAAAAATTAAAAAATGAAATTAGTTTCATTTTATACTAATGAAATATGCTTTTTTTTTTAGTAAACAAACACAAGCCATGGATTGAAACATCTTATCATGGAGTTATTACTGAAAACAATGATACGGTCATATTGGATCCTCCATTAGTTGCTTTGGATAAAGATGCTCCTGTTCCATATGCAGGTAACAAAAAAACATACATATGCAATGAACAACAATGTGTTTGCTGAATGTTTTGGAACTTTATGTAACATGAATTGTTTATAATTGCAATGCATTCTTTTGATAACATATCGTCAATATGTGATTGTTTAGTATTTCATTTTTGAACCATTTAGCTTGGAATGCAGTAGTTTTATATTTGCTATAAATAGGATAATTCAACAATTTTGAAATGTTTGTTAGTAACAAACTAACAAAGAGCTCTCTTTATCTAAATTGTCCATCATGATTGTGTAAAAAAATTCCTTTTGCACAACAATTGATCAAGGGGATATCAATAATGTTTAAGATTATTTTTATTTAGCAAAACAAGTAATTGTTAGTGGATTTTTGGAAAGAGTATTTAGGATATCTTTCAACTGTATAATTTTAACCAATTTTCCATGTCATTTGAATTATGATCATTCAAAAAGTAAATCATCTTTCTTTAGAGCAGTGGTTCTCAACCTGTGGGTCGGGACCCCATTTGGGGTCGAATGACCATTTTACGGGGGTCACCAAACAAGGCTGTCTGCCATTTTTTTCCTCCTTTTCTTTGGCCATGCCCCTGGCACCCGGTGATGTATAAGTGGTTGGGGGTCACCACAACATGGGGAACTGTATTATGGGGTCGCGGCATTAGAAAGGTTGAGAACCACTGCTTTAGAGAAAAAAATAGTTGAAATGAGTAATTTAGGAAATGTTGAATATACTTAAAATATAACTAATGAAGATAATAAAAAATAAAACTAAAATGTTGATAATAAATATAAATTGAAGCTCAGAGGAACTTTTTGTAAAAGTACTGTTGCTACTTGGTTCTCTTGGTTCTTTCTCCCTATTTAATATGAGATGTTCTGCCCTTTTCATATTTATTAATTTGGCTTATCGGGACTTCGGTGAAGAGAGACTTTGAGGATATATGTTTTTCTAACTATCATTACTAGATGATTTTTAATAGCAGTGTTTACAACATTTTTCATTTTCTTCTTTTCACAATGCATTCCATTAGATTACACTCAAATTCAATATTTTTGTTTTTCTAGTGAATTAATGAGGATACAACTTAAGTTGCTCTTCTTCAAGTCCATTCTGACATACCTTCATCTTCCTGATTCATTGCTCTTAACATATTTTCTTTAATACTGTAATATGACAAGTATATAAACAAGTGAAAATATTTCTTTTGGGGGGGCGGTGATGTATTACTTACAACCACTTCTTATATGTCAACACAAAATTTTCTATTCAATAAATATGATCTGTTTGGGAATAAATATTCTTCATGCTCTCCGATGAATTTGTCTCCTAGACCTTATTGAATTTTATTTACAATTTATTTTTAGAGAATGTGCATGATCACAAGAAATAGTAACTTACAAATATTCATCAAAATATGTCAGAATCATATTGATTTTAAAAGCCTGGATAAATAAGAATATGTGAGCCTTGCAATTTTAGATACTGTACTCTTATAGAATTAAAGGTTTCATATGCAACTATCCCACAAGTCAAAGGGAGACCATTATAGAAACTAGAACTACAACTTCCCAGTTCATTCAGTTACTACTCGCTTGTTGTTTGAAAGGCTGACAGTACATAGCTACTTAAAACACTACCTGGCCTTAGTTGCTACCACAATCCCTTTGAACTTGTAATCAGAGACCAATTTGTTTGATTATACCAAATTCTATAAATAATAAATAAGTGAAAAGGAAAACTTTCTTTACCCAGTGAAGATTTGGACCTAGCACCTGAAGACTTTTGGCTGCCATATAACCAGGAAGCAAGCCATCAAATAATCACAGTTATTACAATAAAAAAGTTCATAGAAACACAAAAAGAAAAATGGGATTTCCTTGGTGTCTGGAAACCAGTACAAAACTACCAGTAGATAATTCATTCTTTTATAAAGAATCCTTGGAAACCAGTACAAAACTACCGCTAGTTAAATCATTCTTTTATAAAGAATCCTTGGCTTCTAAAAAATTCCCATACCTCTGCCCTGGCAGCTGATAAGAAGTACAGTTAAGCAAGAAGCTAAATAGAATACAAAGAATGACAAAGCAATTATAAGTTCAAGATGATTTGGTTGCTTTGTGCCACAGCTGTGTATTTATTTTGCCTTTATGGGCAATATGCCTTTCTCTTTAAATTGGAAAAGCATATTTCCTCATTTATTCTAGTATTTCTATTTTGCAAATATATCGTCTCCCTTTAGTTGGTTATAATCTCCCCAACAACATCTCCCAGGACTTCCCTCTCTCTAGGCAGACGCTGATCCAAGCTGAGGTTAATTATATTTCACTGCTGAAACAGATATTTATCAATCTCTTTATCTTTCTCTCAAAGTACAAAAATCAGAGAACCTTGCTGAACCATCGTCCAGATCATAAGAGATTAAATCTGTCCATTAATTTCTATCCATTGTGTATGAAGATTCTCAATCATCCATGATTGTCTCAAAGGTGCTTTTTCAATCCTTCCATTCCTCACCATCCAGTCAGAGCTGAAGAAGCTTCTTGAATGAGAAGCGAAACTTCTTCAACCCCGTCCCCCACCCAAGAAAGTCCAGTTCCCTCTTTAAAAAGCACCTTTGGGACTTCTCTATCCATTGTGCCATGGGAAACTGAAGACATAATAACTTCTTTTTTCAGATAATATTTGGCTTTGGGAAATCCTAAACTGCAGATCATCAATAAATTTTACAGTTCAAATTAAGTTCTAGTAATTTTGGAGAGAATGCTGCTTTGCTTTGCTTTAGAAAGCCTGCTACATTTTTAAAGATATCTGATTCATATATAAATTTGGATGAGTTCTACACACATCCCTAAAAATTTGAAAGTATTTTCATGAATCCAAAAGTAGCTGTCAATCAGTTGCAGCCAATATACTTAAAAGAATATTATTGCATTATATATTAAATGGCTTCCTTGAGGATAAAAAGTATGAAGTTGGTGATGATACTGTTAAAATGAGTTCAGTTAAACTATATGCCATACTCCAGGTGCTTCAGGGTAAAAACAACTAAAAAGAATATTATGGATGGATTAGGAAAATTTTTGAGAAACTTGTGAAAACTACTGAGGCTGTGCACTTGCCCTTGATTCTCCCAGTGGAAGTTATTTGATGTAGCAATCAGCATTTTCCTTCCTAAAATGATACCTTGAATAGAGATTGCTGACTGGATTATTTTAGCTAAATACTGCTTGAAAATGGGGACACCCGTCTGCTCAGACTTTTCATCCTAGAATAATGAATTAGAAATTGGGTAGTAATTCTCCTGAACTCTTGGATCTGACCTATGTTTCTTTATGTTTGTCCTGAATGGCACTAGTATTTCAACTTGTTGTAGCTGTCTCTTCTTCATAGAAGTATATATACTTGTCAATGTCTAACTATCTGCCCTGGCCTTAATCTGAATTCCTGAAAATTTACCAACATCATTATGCTATGTCATGTAAGCTTTTATTATGAAAGGATGTGAAATGATAACTAAATGGCATTTGACAGTCATGCATTTCTGATTTTTTTAAAAAATAATGATTTCCAATTTGACTTATGGCCCTTGACTATATTATGCAATGAACATCACATATCAGGAAAGGCATTCATTATTCTGATCAAGACCATCTTGATAACCTGGATTTTGCAGATGATATTGCCCTATTTGAGGAAGATGAGATGAAATTACAACAAGTGATGATTGCCTTAAATGATTACAACAAGTGACGACTCCACTAGATGAAGAAGCAACCAAAATTAGTCTCAGAATAAGTGCTGAGAAATTGAAGATCATGTATGGGAGCTCTACTGCACAAATAAAGGGAAATCACCTATTTATCTATTTGGGTAGTATAATAGCTCAAAATGGACATTTGCAGAGATGGACATCAAGTGCAGAATGTACTTGCAGTTACATTTGTTGTATGAAGAACAATCAAATCCCCAAGATAGCACTGAGATGGACATCTCCCCAATGCTAAATGACCAAGAGGATGCCCTCGAAATACATGGCAAAGAACATTACGTGGGGAGATGCTGAAGTACTCATCAAGACTGAAAATCCTGGAGATCCCTTGCTGCCCGATATGGGAGGATCTAATATTAATGCTAAAATTTGACTTTATTTGCAATGTAAATTGGTCATCATAAAATTTCAAGGACTTATATTGCTGCTTCCCAAGATCTATTCTAAGAAAGTTTTAATCTCAGAAAAGGTTATTCAATTACAGTGCAAATATCTAATGATAACTGAAAATTGTGAACTCTTCACTGCTGCTCTTAGTGTCTAAGACTTAGAGTGGTATTTGTAATGAAATATAATTGACATCACTAGCTGTTTTTCACTGTTTGCAGTCTTTTCACATTGTCTATCATTGCATCATCTTCTGGTTCCCAAAAGAGCAGGAATTGAGGTAGCTGTACAAATGAGTTGACAGCAGTGCTTTTTTTTCTAAAAAAAAAAAAAAAAGTGCCAGAACTCACACACGTCATACAACCCACCTTGCCTACTCTACAAGGTTCCATCCAAAAAAGGTGACAGAACTCCATTCTGGGCATTCTATGAGAAAAAAAAAAGCCCTGGTTGACAGTATTTCATATTAACTGTATCATAGCAAGCAGAGGTAACAAAGTTCACCTGCTAATTCCTATTCTTCAGTGATCTATGAAAAGAAGTTGGGATATATTAAGTATGTAATTTAAGTATGTAATTTCATGCCACTTGCATTGCTGTATTGAATTCAAAGAACTGATTCTACAGTAAGTAACTTTAGTATTTAAACTTTCATGGGTGTTTTCACTGAAAAATCTAAGTTTGTAAGTTATACTTATTAACTAGAAAATGTTTGTTTGTTTATTAATTAATTAATTGGATTAAAACAAATAGTACATTAATTTTACTAGTTTAAACTATAGGGAACTGACGTGGGTTGTACAGGAAAGAAAAACCTTAAATATAACTTTGCATTTATCTTTGG